AACTGCAAAGGACAATTTTACACGGGGGCGGCACTGTGGCTGGTGGTTAGCACTCTTAGTTCGAATCCCAGTCGGAACAGGGCCTTTCTGAGTGGAGTTTGTACGTTCTCCTAATGTCTGTGTAGGTTTCCTCCAGGCGCTCCAGTTTCTCCTACCACTAAAAAAACATGTACAATAGATTGACCTGCTCCCATCTCTGTGTGGAGTCAAAAAGACCAAATGCCTTCAACAATTGTTCAGCGTTTTGTGACACTGGTCTGTGAATTATTTTATATCTGTGCGGTTAGAGTCAGAATTAAAAGTTCACTGAAGTATTTTTCCCAACACTAATGACGTGAGCGATGGTAGTTTCATGACTTCAATGTGAGAGCGGCTTTGATCCATCCCACATGGACTCAGGCTTCAGTGTTTGGAGAGCAGGCCTTTTTAAGAAGAACCATATGAAGTTCTGCAGGGTCGGGACAAACTCTTCTCTCTGGAATTTGGTTCTATAAAAGTCTGTTCACCGACAAACAACTGCCGACAGTAAGGAAGGGAAAAAAAAAAAAGCAGGGGGGAGGGGGGGGTGGGGGGGGGGCCTTTTTTTAAGGGGGGGGGGGGGGGGGGGAAGGGGCACCCATTTATGGGGAGGGAAGTTTTTTTCTTGGGGCCCACAAGGGGGGGGTTCGGGGGGAACAAAAAAAAAAAAAACCCTCTTCTCTTTCTGGGGGGGGGGAAAAAATTTGGGGTCTATTAAAAAAAAAAAAGGTCTTGTTCAACACCGGGGGGGTGGGGTGACCCCCACCCAAAAAAAAAAAAACAAAAAAAAAAAAAAAAACTGCCGGGGGGGGGGGGGGGGGGTGGGGGGGGTGGGGGGGGGAAACAGTTTTAAAAACGTGGGTCTTCGGGGAAAAAAAAAACAAACCAAAAATGCGGGGGGGGTGGGGGGGGGGGGGGGGGGACCAATGGATTTTCGATTGGAGGGGATATTTTTTTGGGGGAAAAAGAAGTTTTTTAGGGGGAAATTTTTGGTGGGGGGGGGGGGGGGGAAAAGGACTTAAGGGGGGGGGGAAAAAAAAAAAAAAAAAAAAACCAAAAAACCCGGGGGGGGGGGGGGGGGGGATTTTTTAAGGTTTCGGTATTTTGGGGGGAAACAACATTGGTGAAAAGGGACTTGGGGGGGAGGGGGGGTTTTGTTTTCCCCAAAACCATTTGGTGGGGAAATTTTTTTTTCCCAAGGCGGGGGGGGGGGGGGGGGGGGGGGGGGTTGGACTTTCCCCCACAAGGGCCCAAGGTTGGGGCTATAAAAAATTTTCTGTGGTTGTTGCGGGGGGGGGGGGGGTTTTTTTCTCCCCAACCTTTTAAAATCCCACTTGGGGGGGGTTTTAGGGTTTCTTTCCCTCTGATTTTTTTGCATTTGGGGGGTCGGGGGGTTCTGTCCAGGGGAACCAATAAAAAAAAAAAAAAATTTTTGGGAATTTGAAAAACCCATTTTTTAATTGGGATGGGAACATTTTTATTCAACCATTGATTTTCCCCAACTTTCCCCATGGGGGGGGACCCAAAATAACCCATGAATTTAAGATTTTAGGGGATTCTGATAAAAAAAAATAGGGGGATTGGAATTTTTTTAACCCCATTAAGGGATTTTTAGGATTAGGGTGGATAGGAAATTTTTTACATGAGGGGGAATTTAGGGTTTAAAAACCATTAAAGGGGGAATTTTTTTAAGAATTAGGATTTTTACATAGAAATTTAAAAAGGAAGGAGGGGACATTAGGGAGGGGGATAGGGGGGAATTTTTAGAAAAGGGCCAATTAGATTTTAAAAGGGGGGGATTTTAGGGGGGGGGGGAAAATAAGATGGGGATGGGGGAATAAAGATGGGATTAGGGGGGATTTGTACTTTTAAATTTGGGGGATTTTCCTTTGGCCAGGGGGGGGAGGGCGGAAAAAATGGGGCCAGGGTGTTCCCAAGGGGTTTAGGCAAAAGGCCAACAAAAAAAAAAAAACCCCCCCCACCCCCCAAAAAAAATTTTTTCCTATTCCATTTTTTTTCCACAAACAAAAAAAAACCCCCCCAAAAAAAAAAAAAAAAAAAACCAAAAAATAAATAGGGGGGGGGGGGATTAAATTTAAATAAAAAAAAAAAAAAAAGGGGGGGCCCCAGGGCAAATTAGGGAAACCCCAAAAGGGGGGGAGGGGGGGGGTGGGGGGTGAAAAACCAAAAATGGGGGGGGCCCTTGGGCCAGGGGGGGTTCCAAACAAGGCAAAGGGGCAAAAAAGGGGAGGGGGGGATGGGGGGGGGAGGGGGGGGGGGGGACCGGCTGGGTTCGGGGGGACCATTTTTTCCAAAGAAAAAACGGTTTTGGGATTTCCTCTGAATTTCTGTGTTTTTGGGGCGGGATACTTTCACAAAACCAAGCTTTGTTTAAAAAAAAAAAAAAAGGGGGTTCCTTCTTTGGAGGGGGAGGGGGGAGGGAAAATTTTTTTTTTTTTTTTTTTTTTTTTTTACTTTTTGTTTTTTTTTGGCTGGGGGGAATGTAACCCAGTGGGGGGGGAAAAAACGTGGTTTTGGCATATTTAATTTTCCATCCTGTTGGTTCTTTTTTTGTTCAAAATTCTCCCAAAAAAGGGCTTTATCCCTGCAATTTTAAAAAACTGTTTTTGGGGGGGAAAGGCCTGGATTTTTTTTTCCATAGAAACTGGGGGGGGGGAAAAAATAAAAATTTTCAAAAACTGGGGGGCTTTTTAAAAAAATTCTTCGGGAAAACTGTTTTGCTGGGGGGGGAGCCCAAAATGGGGGAAGCCAAGGGGGGGGGTATTTTTTTAAGGGTTTTTTCTTTAGGCCCTTTGAAAAGGGGTTTCCTTTTTACCCCTTGGGGGAAAAAAGGGGGGGGGAACCCAGGGAAAAAAAAAAGTTTAACTTTGTTAAGGGGGGGGGGTATAAGGGGGGATTTGGGAATAAACCTGTGGGTCCTTTCAGGATTTTCATTTATTGGGGGGGGGGGGGGGGGGCCCTGGGGGGGGGGAAAACTCCTTTTGTTGGGTGGGGGGGGGGGGAGGGTTTAACCCCCACCTAAGGGGGGGGGTCGGGGATTTCACCCCCCCTGGGGGGGGGGGGGGGGGAAAAAACCCTCCTTTTTTCTTGTATTTTCCAAAAATCCTCTAACCCAATTTTCTTTTTTTTTTTTGGCGGTTTAAGGGGGTTCAGTTAAATTTTAACGGGCAAAAAAAACCAAAAAAAGGGTTTTCCTAATTTCATTAACCTATGCCAAGGGACGAACCAACTCCAAGAAAAATCTATGGGGTCTCCCACTCCTGAACTTTTTGCAGGGAAAGGGAAAAAAAAAAACCCATTTTTGGGGGGGGGGAACCAAGTGGGGAACCTTCCCCCCCCCCCAAACCTTTTTTTTCCTTTCCCCAAAAAAACCTGTATCCAAACAAGGGGGGGGGATCACGTGGAGGGGGGTGGGTGGGATGGCAAAAAAAAAAAAAAAAAAAACCCAAAAAAAAATAAACTTCCTTTTTTTCAAAAGGGGCCTTAAAAAAAACGGTCAAGGGGGGGTTGGGGGGTGTGTGGGTGGGTAGAAAACCAAAAAAAAAAAAAAAAAAATTGAAAAAAAAAAAATTGATTTTGTCTTTTTTGGGGGGTTTTTTTCCCCCCCCAAGGAAAAAAAAAACAAAAAGGAGGGGGGAAGTGGAGGGGTGGGGCGGGGCGGGGGGGTGGGGGACATTTTCTGTTTTTTCCCATCTTTTTACAAGGGGGGTCTTTTTTCTTCTCCCTTTAAAAAAAAAAAAAAAAACCTTTCAAAAAAAAAAAAAAAAAAACAAAAAAACCAAAGGATTCCCCAGAAAAAAATCTAGAGGGGGGTAAAATTAAAATTGGGGGGGGGGGGGGGGACACCTCCAGGGGGGGGACCCTTTTTAACCCATTTTTTTTTTTAAAAATTAAGGGCCCACCCCCAAATTCAAAAAAATCAAGGGTAAACATTCAAAGCAAAGGGGGCCTTTTTTTTTTTTACCATCCTAAAAAAAAAAAAAAAAAAAAAAAAACCATTGGCAGGGTGGGGATCAAAAAAAAAAAAAAAAAACAATTTTTAGGGTTGTTTCTAAAAAAGGCCAAGGGGGGGGGACCCCTTTGGGGGAAGATTTTTCTTAAATTTTTTTTCCATTGCCCCCCTTTTTTTTTGGGGGTTTTTTTTCTTCCGGGGGGTAAGTAGTGTTTTAGGGGGGGGAAACTTACTGCAAAAATGGGTGGGGGGGGGGGCCTTGCCCTCCCCCCCCCCCCCCAACCCCAGGGGGGGGGGGTCTGTCCCAAAAAAAAAAAACAGGCCTGTTAAAAAAAAAAAACCAAATCCTTTGGGGGCCCCCCCCAGGGGGGTTTTTTAAACATTTCCCAAAAAAAAAAAAAATTTTTTTTTGGGGGGGCGGGCCCAATGGGGGGGCCCAAGGCTCGGGGAAAGGGGGGTTTCCTGGGGGGAAACTAGGGAAAAAAAAAAAAAAAAAAAAAAAAAAAAAAAAAAAACCCCCAGGGAAGTTAAAAACGGGGGTGGGGGGGGGGGGGGTGGGGGGGGGGGGGTGGACCATATTAGTTCCTTGGGGGGGGGGGGGAACTAGGGACACCCAGGGGGGAAAAAGGTTAACGGGACCCCCCACCATTTTTAAGGGGGGGGGGGGGTTCCTGGGGGGACCCTTAAAAGAAAAAAACCCCAGGGGGGGAAAAGGTTTTTTTAAAACCGGGGAAACCCATTAAATTTAAATGGGGTTCTGGAACCCTAAAAAGGGGAAAAAGACCCAGGGGGGTAAGGTTTTTAGGTGGGGGGGGGGGTGTGGGGGGGGGACCCCACATTAGTTCCTGGGGGGGGGGGGGGGGGGGGGGGGGACTTAAAAGAAAAAAAAACCCAGGGTTCTCCCTCCAATGGGGGGCCCTCGCCCAAAACCCCCAAAAAAAAATATTTTAATTAAGTGGGGGGGGGGGGGGGGGGAACATTGGGTGTTTTTAGGGGTTTTTTTCCCCATATGCGTGGGGAAAAAAATAAAAAAAAAAACCCCCAGGGCCCGGTGGGGGGGTGGGGGGGGGGGGGGGGGAAACTTCTTTTGGGAGGGGGGGTAAGCAAACAAGGGGGGGGGGGGGGGGGGGGAACCGGGGGGGGGAACCTCCCTTTTTGGCTTTGGGGGGGAGGAACCTTCTTGGGAGGGGGGGAAGCCCAAAACCAAGGGGGGGGGGAACTGGGGGGTACTCCTGGGGGGCTGGGGGAGGGACTTTTCTTGAGGGGGAGGCACCAAGGGGGGTGGGGAAAAACTTGGGGGGGGGGGACCCCTCCCCTTGCTGGGGGGGAGGGTGGGGGACTCTGAAAGGGGGGGAGCCAAAACAGGGGGCGGGAAACTGGGGGGGGGGGTGAACTCCTTGGTTAGTTTGGGGGCCCCAGGGGGTGAGGAGGGGTTTCAATGAACTAAAAAACCCCATTGGGGGGGGGGGGAAGGGGGGGGGGCTGGCTTTTTTTTTTTTTTCAAAGGGGGGGATTTTCATTTTTTTGTTTTGCTTTTTGGCTAAAAAATCTGGGGGTTAAAAACCAGTCCTTTTTTCCCCTGGGGAAAGAATTTTTGTTGGAGACAGGGGGGGGCCCCCTTCCTCCTTTTCTGGGGGACAATGGGTTTTTAAAAAAAAAAAAACCCCAGGGGTGTCCCAAAAAAAAGGGGGGGGGGGGGTGGGACAGTTCCCTGTTTTTAGGGCCTTTATGTTTGCTACCAAAAAAAAAAAAACTTTGGGAGGGGGGGGAATTTTTATTATTTTTTTTTTATCTTTTTTCTTTTTTTTTTTTAAATGTTTTTCTGTGGAATTTTAAATTTATGATTTTTTTTTTTAATGCTTTTCTTGTTTCAGGGCACTGTTTGGGAAAAAAAATTGGGGGGCTTGTTTGTATTTTGGGGGGGGAAATTTTTGTGGCTTTAATTTTTTACCCAAAAAAAAAAAATATTAAAAAAAACCTTTTTGGGGCCTTTTTTGGGGGGGGGGCCTTGGCCCCCCCCATTTTTATGGCAGGTTGGGAAAAAAAAAGGGGGGGGAAAAAAAGGATTTTTTTTCCCCTGGGGCTGGGAATCCCCCAAAAAAACACAAAATTTAAAAGGGGGGGGGGAAGGGTTTTCTAAATTTTTTTTTTTTATTTGCCCCCTTTTAAACAAAAAGGTTTTTTCCAAAATCCATCGGGATCGAAAAAACCCATTTTTTTTTTTTTCCTTATTCCCCCTTAAATTCCAATTTTTTTTTTCTTTTGGGGTTTTCCAGGGAAAAAAAAAAGCTGTTTACCCAAATTGGGGTCTTATTTTTGTTGGGGCCCAAAGGGGGGACAATGGGGGGGGGATATTTGTTTGGGTGGTCCTTTTGGGGGGTTTTGGTTTTGGGGGGGTTTTCCATTTTTGGAAAAAAAAAACAAACTGGTTTTTTTGAAGTTGGGGGGTTGTTTTTTTTTTGTGGGCTTTTAACCCCAATTTTTTTTAATAATTTAATTTTCTGGGGGCTTATTTTGTTTTTTTTCTGGCCCTGGGTGGGAAAAAAAAAAAGGAAATGTTTTTTGCCGGGGGCCAGAAGGGTTATTTTAGGGGGAAAAAACCAAATGATAAAGGGGGGGGCAAGGGTGGAAAAAGGGAATAGGAGGGGGGGTGGGGGGAGGGGGGGGTGTTGGGGGTTCATTGGGTTTTTTCCGGAACAAAAAAAAAAAAAACCCCAAACTGGGGGGAAAATTTCAAGGTTGGGGGAAAAAAGGTCCAACCTGGGGGGGTGGGAAAAACCCGTTCCTCCTCCCCAACCCCCAGAAAGGGGGGGGGGGGGGGGGGGTGGACTACTGGGCAATCTCTGCTTTTTTTTTTGGCTGTTGGGGGGGAAAACCTGAAAAGGGCTTGTTTTGCTTTTTGGATTTATTTACTTTAAATTGTTTTTAGGGGGCCTTTTTTTAAAAAAGGAAAAAAACCGTGGGATAAAAAAATTTTTTTATTTTATTTTTATTTTTTTGGGGCCTTTGCCAACTTGGGGGGGGGGGGGGGGGAAACACCTGAAAAAAAAAAAAAAAAATGGGGGGGGATTCTTGGTTTTTTTTCCCCAAAAAAAAAATTCTAAAAATTTCTAAAAAAAAAAAAAAAAAAAAAAAAACCAAAAAAGGGGCCAAAGGAGGGGGGACATCCAGGGGGGAAAAAAAAGGGGGGGGGGGGGTCTCGGGTGGGGTGGAACTCGGGGGGAAAAAAAAAAAAAAAAAAAAACCCCCCAACTTTACCTTTTTTCCCAACGGGGGCCCTCCCAATAAAAAATAGGGGGGGGGGGGGGGGGCCCCCCCAGATTTGCTTTTCTAAAAAAAAAAAAAAAAAAAAAAACTGGAGGGTAAAATAAAGCCCAAAAAAAAAAAAGGTTACCAAAAAAAAAAAACCGCTTAAAAAAAAAAAAGGTTGACAAAAAAAAGGTTGATTTGGATTTTTTAAAAAAAAAAATTTTTTTTAAAAAAACAAAAAAAAAGTGGGGGGGGGGGGGGGGGGGGGGGGGGGGGGGGGGGGGAAACCCCCATTTTGTAAAAAAAAATCCTTTTTTTAATCAAAAAAGTTTTCGGGGCCCTTGTTTTCCCCCCCAAAAAGGTAAAGTTTTTGGGTTTTTTTAATTTTCCGGAAAAAAATCCAGGGGAAAAAAAGGGGGGGGGCCCCCAAGCAATCCCAGGGGGGGGCCAAATCAGAAAAAATACATACCTCTGGTTGGGAAATTGGGGGATTTAACAAAAAAAAAATAATAAAACTTGGGGGCGCTTGGCACCAAAAAAACCCAAAGGGGGGGAAAAAAAAAAAAAGGCGGGGGGGAATTTGGGTCCTTTTCTTTCTTTTCCTGAAATTTCTGGGGGTTTTTTTCTTATTCCTTTCAACTGGGCAAGCCCCATAGAACCTTTTCCCGTTTTTACCCCCCCAAAGTTTTTTGGGAGGGGTTTTTATAAAAATGGCATTGGTGTTTTTTTGGTTTTTTTTTTTCCCGATAAAAAAAAAAAAAAACATGGGCTTTTTGGAAAAAATAAACATTATGGGGGGGTCTGGGGAAAACCCAAAATGAAAAAGGGAGGGTTTGGGCCGGGAGGGGGAAAATTTTGCCCTTGAAAAGGAAAAAACCATAAATAATATTTGTTTAAAAGGGGGGGGGGAAAAAATTAAAAAAATGATTGGTTTGTTTTAAAATTAAAAACTTTCTTTTTCATTTTTTGTTTGGATTAACTGGATTTTAAAAAACAAAAAAAAATTACCCTTGAAAAAAAAAAAAAAAAAAAATTTTTGTTATGCGAAAAAAAAATTGGGGTCCCCCAAAAAAAAAAAAAAAAAAAAAAAAAAAAAAAAAATTTATTGCAATAAAAAAAAAAAAAAAAATGGGGAAAATTTTCTGACTGAAAAATAAGAAGTTATTGTGGGGACCTTTAAAAAATTTCTTGAGGAAAATAAGGGGGGGGAAAAAAATTTAAATTTTCTAGGCCCCCAAAATTTGGAAAACTTGATTTTTTTTCTAGGTTTTAAAAAAAAAAAAACCAATACCCCCATTTTTTTTTTTTTTTTCAAGGTTGTTTTTTTAAACTTACACGTATTTAAAATGGGGTTTTCTTAAAAAAAAAGGGGGCACGGGGTTTATAGCAATTCCCACCCCCAAAAAAAAAAAACCTTAAATTTTAATATTAAAAAAAACAAAAAAAAAAAAAAAAAAAATTAAAAAACCTTTTTATTGGGCTCAAGGAAACTTTTTTTCATCTTAGTTTAAAAAAAAAAAAACATTTTGGTGTAAAGGTATTATTTTAAAAAAAAAAAATAAAAAGTTTTTAAAAAATTTTTAAAAAACAAAAAAAAAAAAAAATTTTTAAATTTTGGGGGGGAATGGGTTTTAATTTTTTTTTTGTCCTAGCGGGGGGGGCGGGTAAGGGGGGGGGGGGGGGGGAACCCCAGGGGTGGATTGTGGTTTCTTGGGGGGGGGGGTGGGGGAGGGGAAAAAAAAAAAAAACCGTGGTTTATGGAGGGGGGGGGGGTGGAGGGGGGGGGGGAGGGGAAAATAATCTTTTGGGTTTCCAAAGGGGGGGCTTCTTTTCCCCCAGGTCGGGCCCCCTTTTAAAGGGGGGGAGGGTTAATAAACCCCTCTGGCTTGTTTTTTAAAAAAAAAAAAAAAAAAAAACCTTGGGTTTTTCTTTTTTTTTTACGAATTTAATTTTTTTTTTCCTTTGGGTTGGTGGGGGGGGGGGGCCCCAAAAATGGTTTAATCGCCCCCCCCACCCTTCCCCTATATTAAAAAAAATTTTAAAAATCAATAAAAAAAAAAAAAAAAAATTGTAACGGGGGGTGGTCCCTTTTTTTTAAAAAAAAAAAAATTTTAATTTTTTAGGGCGGGTTAAAAAGGGTAACCAAAAAACTTTTTCCCCCAACCCCCCAGGTGGGGGATCCAATTCTTTTCCCATTTCCAAATAATTTTTTGGGGAGGGGGAGGGACGGGAGGGGGGGGAAAACCAGGGGGGGGGGGAAAGTTTTGTGAGTAATTTTTATTTTGGGGAGGGGGGGGAGTGGGGGGGGGGGGAGGGGGTTTGGGGCGTGCCCTAGGGGGGCCCCCCCGGGTTTTTGGGCGGGGGCCCTTCAGAATCGGAAAAAAGGTGGGTGGGGGCCCCCCTCCTTGCGATGGGGGGGGGGGGGGAAAAGCGGGCGGGGGGCCAACCCCCCCCCCAAAAAAATCTTTTTCCCCCCCGGGGGAGGGGGTTGGGGGGGGGACGAATATTTCTGTTGTGGCCAATGTTTATCGCACACTCCCTATAAAAATAAAAATGTACGTCTTTTAAAAATAATAGCGTTAAGACCAACTTCCCACAGACATCTTTCATTTCAATTTGGAGAGACGAGAAAACAGGAAGTTTTGAGTATTTTATTGGGAGGAGGTTTGGCGCCCTAGGCCCCGGTGCGGCCTTCAGATCGGAAAGGCTCCTGCGATGGAGCGCGCACAATCCCCCGGGACCTAGGCACTGGTGGCGGCATTTGGCAGCGGGAAGCAGATTGGAGGCAGATTGGAGGCAGGGTGAAGAGGAGGAGGAGGGGAGGCGGTGGTTGCGAGGCTTCAGGAGGCAGAGAGTGGTAGTTTTTCCGTTTTTATGCGGCTGGCGTAGTCGGTACAGATGATTGGAAGGGGGCGTCTGCTGAGCGATAGGCTGGGATGCGAGCCGGCCTGGAGGGGGTAAATTTGGTTAACGTCTACCAAATTGAACTTTCGCTGGCTGCATTTCTCTCTTGTGTAAATGTAAAATATAGAGTGAAGTTACAATTTAATTCCATGATCGTTTGTCGTGTCAGTTCATACAACATCCTATTTAAATTATTATACAAAGAAAATATGTATATGTTTCATTACTGATTTTCTAAATTGTTTTTAAGCTGAATGCTGCTGTTTACTGTTTCTTGTCTTTCCAAAGGTGCAGTGATGCCGAAACCCTTTCAGTCGTTTGTTTTTGGAATTTGACTGTCATGGTGTGGGTATATTTTATTTAGTACTTCGGTTTTATTTTGAAATTACTTCTCTGTGGTTTGGTTTTGGCTGGTGCTCTGTGCACTGGGTGGTATCTCTGGTCACCCCCCCAACCCAGAATTGGTTAAGGGGTAGAAAATGGATGGATGGATGGGTTTGGTTTTAGTTTGAAATTTGTTTTAGTTTGACTTCCTGTCTGGTCCCCCTGTCTTCATGGTCTTTCCCGCCCTGTGTGTTTTATGCACAAAGCTCCACAAGGCTTCGTACACGTATGTAACAAACCAGTTGGGAAAACACACTATTGCCAAAATGACCATAAATAGCTGATAGGAAGGAGCCGTTCCCAGAGCCGGGGAGAGGGTCAGTCGGGGGGAGATGACGTGGACCAGAGAGCTCTGTGTTCTCACGCTGCTCAGCATGTGACACCGGCTGCTTCAACTCAAAAACAAGTATCATGGACTGGGATATTATCACTTTCTGCAGTACTTATAATTATGCCATAACCAATAAAATTATGCCATAACTAACATAATTATGCTGCCTTCATCATGGGCCAGACGACTTCATGGTGTTTTTGAAGCGATACAGGCACTTATGCAACAAATGATGGATAATTCTTTCATGGAACTGGCCAATACTTGATGTGGTGAGATGTCTTTGACTTCTGGCGGCACATTTTGATACCATTTGTTTTCCAATATGCCAAATACACACATTAAACACACAGGTGAATAAAACAATGATATTAATAATAATGCATTGGTTTTATGCAGCGCTTTTTTGGACACTCAAAGACACTTCTCAAGTTATTATTCCTTCACTCCATACACAGTGATGATAAACTACTACTGTAGCCACAGCTGCCCTGGGGCACCTGGACAAATCCACCCAGGAAGGCATTTTTACAGACCAAGCTCTTTGCAATGTTCAGAGTTCATCAAAGCCCCAACATACACCATCCATTCACTCACTCACTAAATACATATTCATACCTATTGCACATGTTTTCAGTGGTAGGGGAAACCGGTGCACCCAGAGGAAACCTACGCAGACACGGGGATAACATACAAACTCCACTCAGAAACCACTCAGCCACCGTGCCGCCCCACGTCTAGGCGCAGCAATTTGACTATGAGTAGAGTTATTGAAGTGTCTAGAAGGTGATCTGGGGCCGGTGTCAGGGGTCTGGCCTGGGGTCCTGCTTGGGGTTCAGCCTGGGGTCCTGCCTGGGGTCCTGCCTGGGGTCCTGCTTGGGGTTCAGCCTGGGGTCCTGCCTGGGGTCCTGCCTGGGGTCCTGCCTGGGGTCCTGTTGACACTGCTAATGGCTCAGCGGTGGTGGGCACAGGACTCCCATTGTATCAGTGTCAAGGAGCTACATCACTATGAACACCAAGACCTCAGTCCTCAACTTAAATACTCACCCATTATCCACAGACCAACAAAGAAGCAGTCATATCGTTGTGACGAGCTAAAGACCGAGGGAAGCACATGTAGCGTTAAAGCGTTATAACGCCTTGCCCATGGGTTACTTTAAAATGAGCTGGAAAACGGCAGAAAGTCCCAAGTGTCTCTGAAACGGTTGTTGTTTATGTTTTATAGTATTTATATATTTTTCTTGCTTTTTTCTACCTGAGATGTTGCTGCAGTACAGGTAAAGGTGCACTGTATTAACCCCCGTAGGGCAATTCATCCTCTGCATTTGACCCATCCTGATGCCGCTAAGGCTTACGTCAGGAGCAGTGGTCGCCGTAGTAACAGCGCCCGGGAACCCATCTCCAGATGTTGATGCTCGGCCTGGTCAGGACCAGAGCTGGAGGATTTAACCTAGTGAGCATGTTTTTAGTGGTTGGGGAAACCGGAGTACCCGGAGGAAACCTACGCCGGCACGGGGAGAACACGCAAACTCCACTCAGACAGACCCTGTTCCGCCGGGATTCGAACCCAGGACCTTGTGGCTGAGAGGCGAGAGTGGTATCTACTCAGCCAAGAGAGAATTCATGGTTTTACACTGGTCCAGACCAGAGCAGAGAGGATTCATGGTCCGAACCAAGTGGATCAGGTGAAAATCCACTGCAGGAATGCTAACTTTTTGAAAAATGCTAATAGAGCTTTTAGCATTTTACTTTGGACCAGAGCAGAGAAAATGGTCTGAACCAAGCGGCTCCACCTCTGCTGCTGTGACCTGAAGGACTGCTGACTGTAAATCAACATGACCTCAGAGCATAATATAATGTTTGCAGAAGATTTACACACCAGAGCTTTTGAAATGCAGTAAAAACCATCCTTCAGTTCAGAATGTGTTTTTGGAGCTGGAGGCAACAAGCGTTCTTTTCTGAGCAGACGATGACATCAGGACCATATGACCAAAAAGGAGAGGATTTCAGTGAATGATCTTTTGTGTATTATTACCATCCATAATACACTATAATAACTCCATGTTTCTTTTTTGATATTCAAGAATTTATTTGGCATTTGCAGTAAAACCACATTGGAAAAACTGTGCAAGACTTCCCCAGTGTGCACCCGTTTTGATATTCTATGTACTTCTGATGTTTTTGTTTATTATTATTATTATTATGTTTTTTTTTTTTTTCAGCGTAGACTTTAAGCCAGGGGTCTCCAACCTTTCTCAATTGGAGAGCTACTTTTATGGAACAGAAGAGGCAGAGAGCTCCTCCCTTTTGTAAGTTTATATAATAACTACCACAACAGTACACAGATGTAAAACACACCATAATACTGTATATTTAGACTTAAACTTTATGTGCAGTGACTGACAATAATATCATTCAGAATAATGTGTTAATTTCTGAATCCTTTGAGGAGCTACTTGCAAGAGGCTGGCGAGCTACTAGTTGGAGACCCCTGCTTTAGGCTGTGTACACAATATGAAACATTTGGTCAAAGGTACAGACTAGATTCAGATTTGTGTGTAGCCTCTCCGCGCTCTACTCTCTGCTTCTGCTTCTTTTGACAATCTGAGGTTACGTTTACAGACCAGTAAATCCTCCATGGCTCATTCATCGTTCACAAAATACAAGATAGTTCTGCAGCACTACATCTGACTTGACCTCACGACTTAAAGTAACTATACCTGATTTATTGTCTAAAGAGTTCATAAACATTTGTTTTACTACATACAAGTTGTATTTAAACCCGTAATTTAATTGAAAACTTGAGCTCATTGATTCAGCTGGGTATGAACTCAGGCGTAAAAAGTGCTGAGTAGAGACTTTGCGTGACGCCCGCTCTCCTCCAATCACAGAACGAGGAGCAGCACAGTTACAAACAGACCACGCCTCCTTTAGGGCACGCCTCCTCTAGCGTCTGGTAAACACAGCAGCATGTTAGCAGAAAGTGACAACAGCTCCTCTGGCTGTAACTGCTGACACAGCAAAACAGCCTAAAAGACGCAACAGTGATGAAGAGAAGAGGGAACTAAAGCCAAAAAATTATCGAAGAAGAAACCAAGCCCTGAACAGAGCTAGCTTACATCGTATCCTCTGGAGAGACTGGTCTATGGGAGAGACCTGCGGGACCGCCTCGGACTATCTATGCTCGGACTATCTATGCTCGGACTATCTATGCTCGGACTATCTACGCTCGGACTATCTTTCCTCGGACTATCTTTCCTCGGACTATCTATGCTCGGACTATCTATGCTCGGACTATCTATGCTCGGACTATCTATGCTCGGACTATCTATGCTCGGACTATCTATGCTCGGACTATCTATGCTCGGACTATCTACGCTCGGACTATCTTTCCTCGGACTATCTTTCCTCGGACTATCTATGTGTGGCAATGTGGAGGCTGCTACGCGCTCCTTAAATAATATTAAAATATAAATGAGAAAGAAAAACCAGCAACGCCAGGGCAAAGTGCCCAAAATAAAATATAAAGCGCTCTAAGGCGCACAGGTTCGTAAATCATAATTGAGAGGCACAGACATTACGTTTACTTTGATTTATTATGTTCCGTTTAGTTCTCCTGATTCAACTAGGTTCTGTTTCATTTCACATTAATATTCACAAGCACACATCATCCTGTCACAAAGGACTCAGGAGTACAGGTGAACAACACCCAACAGAAACATAGAAGAACATGGAGAGAAACGAGAGACAACGGGAGAAACAGCGGTGGGCCGCGGTGTGGCCAGTCCTCAGCCTACGAATTAAAGTAGAGTTAAATTATCAGAACCACAATGCCGTCAGTGTGTGCAGCTAAGACCTACATTTCCACCACCAACACTGAGCGCGCACTCTTGACGAGTAGCGGTTTACAGGCCCAGACCAACAGCCGGCTACGACGCACTCGGACCCCAGCAATGAGGGCGGCCAGACACCCAAGCGACTGGACAGTGTGGCCGTGCACAAGGAGGACTCGCGGGGCACAATGCCACACCGCGGCACTACAACAACAAGTCAACATTAGTGGCTGAATCTTACAATTATTAAAATTGACACTAAAACTACTACCTGGAGCAGGAGAAGGGCTGGCGCGACGACACACAAGAGACGGAAGTGCAGAGGTAAACAAAAGACGTAAATCTAGGCTATTTATACTGGGCGTAGGCGCCCTCTACTGGACAGAAATATGGTGGCCAAGTCCAGCTTGCCACATTCATCCCCCCAAAGTTTTGACGACGCCCCGACGTCAACTAAACTCACACACAACTCTCAAATATAGCGCTATCACTCATACATGAACGTTCCTGACACACGCATCTAAAAGCTAAAAACCGGTCTACGTGGGTTTGAGCCACTAAAAGACCACGCAGCGCTAAGCTTAAAACAAACTAAAAACACATCAGTGGCAGCCACCGAGCATAACGCAACTGGATGATCACTGTTCCAATTCCAATGCCGTGAAGGCGAGAAAAGGAGGCCCTGAAGGCTTTGAAAATCCACTGCAAGTTTCTCATACTCAAGCCTACCTGCTGCACACGGAAGTACTCCCTGACCACACAGGTAAACAGGTGCGCCTTAAACGCTAAGTGAGGCATCCTTAATCTCACTACACCACTGCTGTCTGGGATTACGCCACAGGAGCCTCCGAGTTACAGGTGTGCAGGTTCCACTAGGCTTCACGGGTGACCATCTGAAATCCCGTCTCATCTCTCCGCAACTATACTGCTCCAACCACCGCTGTTTCTCCTTCACAAAACACAGAATTTACAACAGTAGTGCGACACATTACGGCAACACCAGACAGATAGCATAGCAAAAGTTCACATGTGAGGGTTTAGCCGTGTCATTTTATGGCTGTGTTTAAATTTAAAACAAAGACCATGCACAAATCAAAAGCACACAAAAAAAAGCACATCAAAACAAAGAAAATAATAAAACACAAGACAAAACAATGACAGGTTTTAAGTCACATCAAACAAAACGCTAATGCTACTGAAATTGGCTACAAAGAACAGAGTACACTATGCCTCATTTTAACGATTATCCTGCCAGCAACGCCAAGTGTGGCAATGTGGAGGCTGCTACGCGCTCCTTAAATAATATTAAAATATAAATGAGAAAGAAAAACCAGCAACGCCAGGGCAAAGTGCCCAAAATAAAATATAAAGCGCTCTAAGGCGCACAGGTTCGTAAATCATAATTGAGAGGCACAGACATTACGTTTACTTTGATTTATTATGTTCCGTTTAGTTCTCCTGATTCAACTAGGTTCTGTTTCATTTCACATTAATATTCACAAGCACACATCATCCTGTCACAAAGGACTCAGGAGTACAGGTGAACAACACCCAACAGAAACATAGAAGAACATGGAGAGAAACGAGAGACAACGGGAGAAACAGCGGTGGGCCGCGGTGTGGCCAGTCCTCAGCCTACGAATTAAAGTAGAGTTAAATTATCATAACCACAATGCTGTCCGTGTGTGCAGCTAAGACCTACATTTCCACAGCCAACACTGAGCGCGCACTCTTGACGAGTAGCGGTTTACAGGCCCAGACCAACAGCCGGCTACGACGCACTCGGACCCCAGCAATGAGGGCGGCCAGACACCAAAGCGACTGGACAGCGTGGCCGTGCACAAAGAGGACTCGCGGGGCACAATGCCACACCGCGGCACTACAACAAGTCATCATTAGTGGCTGAATCTTACAATTATTAGAATTGACACTAAAACTACTACCTGAGCAGGAGAAGGGCTGGCGCGACGACACACAAGAGACGGAAGTGCAGAGGTAAACAAAAGACGTAAATCTAGGCTATTTATACTGGGCGTAGGCGCCCTCTACTGGACAGAAATATGGTGGCCAAGTCCAGCTTGCCACATATGCTCGGACTATCTATGCTCGGACTATCTTTGCTCGGACTATCTATGCTCGGACTATCTTTGCTCGGACTATCTATGCTCGGACTATCTATGCTTGGACTATCTATGCTCGGACTATCTATGCTCGGACTATCTACGCTCGGACTATCTTTCCTCGGACTATCTTTCCTCGGACTATCTTTCCTCGGACTATCTATGCTCGGACTATCTATGCTCGGACTATCTATGCTCGGACTATCTATGCTCGGACTATCTTTGCTCGGACTATCTCTGCTCGGACTATCTATGCTCGGACTATCTATGCTCGGACTATCTTTGCTCGGACTATCTACGCTCGGACTATCTATCCTCGGACTATCTACGCTCGGACTATCTATCCTCGGACTATCTATGCTCGGACTATCTACGCTCGGACTATCTACGCTCGGACTATCTTTCCTCGGACTATCTTTCCTCGGACTATCTATCCTCGGACTATCTATGCTCGGACTATCTTTGCTCGGACTATCTATGCTCGGACTATCTATGCTCGGACTATCTATGCTCGGACTATCTATGCTCGGACTATCTATGCTCTGACTATCTATGCTCGGACTATCTATGCTCGGACTATCTTTGCTCGGACTATCTACGCTCGGACTATCTATCCTCGGACTATCTACGCTCGGACTATCTATCCTCGGACTATCTATGCTCGGACTATCTACGCTCGGACTATCTTTCCTCGGACTATCTTTCCTTGGACTATCTATGCTCGGACTATCTACGCTCGGACTATCTATGCTTGGACTATCTATGCTCGGACTATCTATGCTCGGACTATCTATGCTCGGACTATCTTTGCTCGGACTATCTACGCTCGGACTATCTATCCTCGGACTATCTATCCTCGGACTATCTATGCTCGGACTATCTACGCTCGGACTATCTTTCCTCGGACTATCTTTCCTCGGACTATCTATGCTCGGACTATCTTTTCTCGGACTATCTATGCTCGGACTATCTATGCTCGGACTATCTATGCTCGGACTATCTATGCTCGGACTATCTTTGCTCGGACTATCTATGCTCGGACTATCTATGCTCGGACTATCTATGCTCGGACTATCTATGCTCGGACTATCTATGCTCGGACTATCTATGCTCGGACTATCTACGCTCGGACATGGACGTCGGAACTATTTTCTGAGAGGGGGGGCGGGTTTTTGTTGGGAGAGTCGAGGGAGAGACTCATTACACTGGATAATAACATACCATCTTAATTGTTAAGAAAAACAAAAAAATAAACAATATATATCAAGCAAGTCACTTATCAAACTGAACTTTATTTTTTTTCAATACGCATTCATGCGTCAGTCTCTCCGGTGGCTTCATTGTGTTGTGTAGCCCAGTGACGTGCGGTCAGATGAGGCAGGTAAGGCCCTCACCTAAGATCATAGAAAGAAAAGTAATATAATGGATACAATAATGTTTGGTCACTTTATCAAGTGATTTGTGCTGTGCGAGAGTAGCTCAGTTGGTAGAGCATTGGCCTTGAGGCCAGAAGGTCGTGGGTTCAATTCCCACCTCTGCACCTTCTCCATCGACTCCCACTGATGACTGCTGTCGTTGTGTCCTTGGGCAAGACACTTAACCCCACTTTGCCCAAAGCCCCCGCTGAATGATCAAGGCTATGCTCACACTCAGAGAGCAGCCGTCCTCCTGTGGACTCACCACCTGCAGAGGGTCTGTGAGGGGCTGGTGCTATGAGACTTGGGTGGCATCTCTGACTGCCACCCCCCTGACCCTGAAATGGATTAAAGGGAAGAAAATGGATGGATGGATGGATGTGCTGTGCCTTATTTAATTTATTTATACCTTGAAATCGCAGATTTGACAGAGCGGCGCTGTGAGGCAAGCCTCTCTTGGGAGACGTAAAAAGCAACAGCTCACAGGGAGAGTCCTGTGAGGTGCTATCAAACTGTTTTCTCTGTTTATCACAGTTTAAAAAGTTCAAAAATATTTAATTTACAATCAACATGTTTACATTTAAGAGGATGGCTCATAAATTGTGTTTTTGAAGCAAATATGGGTCTTAATCGCGCTCAACCACAGCTTGTAAGTGAGGAAAGCCTCAAGGGGGCGCTTGTGAGCCCAAACTTTGGCTACATCCAATTCCATCAGAAAGCTCCTTTCTTGTTCTTCTTCTGCTAAGGGCAGCTTCAGGTTTGGCTAACATACCTATAATACATTTTAAGATAATTTAAAATGCACTTAGAGTAATTTTTTGCTTCCAATGATGATATGAATCATAAGAAAAGGAGGTGAAGGGTAAGGATTTAGAAATTGGATTTACCCGGGAGTCGGCTGCAGCAAAACTCGCAGTTTACGGAGGAGACACCCGTTTTTTTTACTTTTTAAAACTCATTGAACTTATTTCCAAATGGAGGATTACATGTCTGTGCTCAAACTATTATCTGGACTTAAACATGAAACTGGTCCTAACTGAAGTGGTCTGTGCTGTTCATTAATACCTAAGGTAAGGCCCATAACACACTTTGTACTTTTTACAAACGTTTGCGTTTTGTATGAGAAAACTATGCAGACATTAAATCATATTCTGCTGTAGCCAAACAAATTGTGTATAAGCCGCTCCTGTTCCTGTAGGTCATGTTGGTTTATATGATGTATAATCATATGAACACATGATTGATCCCCCACCGCACGTCACTGGTGTAGCCAGGTCTCTAATCTGCGCAAGGCTGAGAAAGAGCGCTCAGAGGCTGCGACAGATATTAGCCAGACAGAGCTTCATAAGCTTCTCCTACAGCATGGAGCGGGTTTTGGGCTGCAAGGAACGCAGGATAGTGATAACTTCTCGCTCCCGGCACACGCGGAGGGGGTGCGGCCGCACCCCCCGCACCCCTAGTTCCGACGTCTATGCACTCGGACTATCTACGCTCGGACTATCTACTCTCGGACTATCTATCCTCGGACTATCTACGCTCGGACTATCTATCCTCGGACTATCTACGCTCGGACTATCTATCCTCGGACTATCTATGCTCGGACTGTCTGTTCGGACTATCTATGCTCGGACTATCTACGCTCGGACTATCTATCCTCGGACTATCTATGCTCGGACTGTCTGTTCGGACTATCTATGCTCGGACTATCTATCCTCGGACTATCTATGCTCGGACTATCTACGCTCGGACTATCTACACTCGGACTACGTTCGGACTATCAACGCTCGGACTATCTACACTCGGACTACGTTCGGACGTGGAACTAGCGGTAATCTTTCAGTTATATATTTTGTTAGCAGTGCGTTGCTTTGCTACTATTTCATCAGTGATTGTTGTACAGGTTACAAGAAGTTGCGCTAATGCTAATGTTTGCATATAGATCAGATCGCAAATAGAACTAGATAGCTCTGTGGGAGGAGAGCGTAGGGGAGAGTAGGAGGGTTTCTCTAAATGAAAAGCCTGTGAGCGAGTAGGGGGCGGGGCTAAACATTAAAACTGAAAAAAACCTGCAGAAACAGCTATAGCTCCTTTAAAACACCTACAACTTTTCATATCGTTGAAATGCTGTAGCTGCAGGTATTGTGGTATGTGGACTAATTACTGGTGGTTATGCTCAATACCTGTCTGTGCAAACGTCAGCTGATCTGAGGCCACCTTTGACCCTTTAAAACAGGGAAGGTCTTTCATGTATCAAAGCCCCATTCGAATCAATACGTGCTCTTACAAACTCTGAAAACAGCTACACATCCATCATGACGACCTCTTCACACATGGAGCAATGCATAACACAACTCTTTACACAAACATTCACAGAAATAGCATGTTGTGTTCAGCAAGTGTACCTAGACACCTAAAAACTTACATTTTTATTGTAATTTGAGCACTTGTTGACTGCCTTAACCCTTTAATGTTCCCTCCTTAAAGAAAGCAATGCATTTTTTTCTTATGTTATTTTCTGTAATTAGTGGCTTTTTCCAAATTTGAGATGCAGTTTGATGATAAAAGTTCTTAAAACCAAGAGAGTTGCCCTAGTGAGGTATATTTCAGCTCCTAAAGTCCATATCGTGACACATTAAAATTGATACCAAGTGGTTGAGGAACTCATTAAAGGGTTAAAACCAGATTTGCGAATGGGACAAAGCCAAATGATCCAGTTTTCGGAAAGATACAGAAATGTCTCTCTCGGAATGAGGAAAAAAAAAAAAAGTCTAAATGGCTTTGTCCCATTGGAGAATATTGTTTTAAGTCAGACAGAATGTGCTCAGATTGAGAGGAGAAACACTAGATTCAAGCACTTTTTACCTCATATTTGATACTTTTTTGACTTAGACGTAGACAGACCTTATTCATCCACAGGAAAATTGCGTTGTCACCGTAGCTTGCATATTATTCCACAACAAAAATAACCATAAAGTAACAATCTGAATTTAGTAAAATAATATTGTGGGAATAGAATAATCTGGATGTAGGTGCTCAGGAATATAGATATGTGTGAATATGTGCACATTTACAGTGTAAAAATACAGAGATAGTAGAGACCAACATGCTGTGTGGGTCCATGCAGGCTCACTTTCATCATCCTCATCCTTCCACTTTCGCTCCTCTCCACGCTCCTTCTCTTCAGGGACGAGCTGCGCACCACGGGGGTCACCAGCACCTCCTCCTCCCCGCACCAGTCGGAGCCCAGGACGCACCCCATCAAAGAAGCTTCCCTGCTCTCTCCGCGCTCCTCCGGCCTGACTGCGCGCTCCTCCGGCCTGGCTGCGCTCTCCTCCGGCCTGGCTTTGCGCTCCTCTGGCCTGGCTGCGCGCTCCTCTGGCCTGGCTGCCCTCTCCTCCGGCCTGGCTGCGCGCTCCTCTGGCCTGGCTGCGCGCTCCTCTGGCCTGGCTGCCCTCTCCTCCGGCCTGGCTGCGCGCTCCTCTGGCCTGGCTGCGCGCTCCTCTGGCCTGGCTGCGCCTCCCGTGTCCTCCAGCTCCTCTCCGGACCGATGTTTTTGTCAGCTGGAAGACCGAGAGAAGGCCCTGCCCCTTTTCCTTGGCTTAAATTCAGACTCAGTCCCAAGGCAAGTACACACACTCCTGCCCGGCCCACTTCTCTTAACACACACACAACTTCTCACCTGCAAAAATCCCTCTACAAACTTACTCTTCACATCACAAACTTCCCATCCCATTCCCACAGTGAGCCATTCCCGTGCTGCTTCCCTGCGTCTGCCGTTCTGAGCTCCCGGTTGCCTCACTCTAACATATACAATCACCCCTCTGTTCTGCCCCTCTTGGGTTTCTCCCCCCCTTGACTCCCCTCTGCTTCCTGAGAGCGGGCTCCTCAGCACATGCTTCGTATTGTCCACAAAACAAATGAGACGAGTGACGGCACAGGATGAGTCAGAAGAAGCCAGCAGCTCTCCCTCTGCACAAGGCTGAAGTTTATATGCGGTAAACACCAGATTTTTTATTATTTTTTTGAGTTTTTATGTGGCTTTACTGCATCAACAACTTGGCTGTCATGTCCAATGGTTTTGTGACACATGTGTTTGGTCCTCCCTGCTGCTGTCAGACTGTAGAATGAGAACTACTGTGTCACTGATAATAGTTTACTGTAGTAACTTTGTCACTAGTCAACCTGTTTTTATTATCACTGCATTATCACATATCCATCTGATACCTTTGTCATTCACTATAGTCACTTTGCCTGTTCATACCTGCTATTAATTAATTGTCTGTTATCTTAAAATCTAGATTCTGTTTTATGTCTGAGTGTTATGTCCTTCTGTCTCGATGAAGTGACTGACAAAAAGAATTTGAATTGGTGACTACATGTAGGTGACAGAGTTTTATTGTGGGATTAGACTGGACCTAAGTCTCGTGATGTCGATGGTACTTAAGAGCCCAGGGAGGGGGCAGTTCATGGGTGGTCGTGGTAATACTCTGGGGTGGAGGATTTGGATGTAAGGCAAGGCAAGTTTATTTGTATAGCACAATTCATACACAAGGCAACTCAAAGTGCTGAACAAGACAAGACAGCATTAAAATCATTAATAATCACAGAACATTAAAAAGAAAGATGAAAATATAAAAACCCTCAGTTGTAGCACAGCTAAACAGAACTGTCTTTAACCTGGTTTTAAACATTGTCAGAGAGGAGGCCTGTCTCACATCTTCAGGAAGATTGTTCCAGATTTTAGCAGCATGAATCTGAAAAGCAGCCTCCCCATGTTTAGTTCTGATGTAGTGAGAACGCCCTCTGTTTAAAGCAGCAATGTTCTTTTCCAATACTTCTTTAACTGATAACAGTAGTTCAGAGATTTCGATGTCCCGCCCTTTCCCCCGTTTCACCAATCAGAAAGTCTGTGATCCGGGCGTCAGATCTCACCGCGTTGAGCTAATCTCACTGGTAAAGTACCATGTGGCGCAGAACTAAAAAAGGTCTCGTTATGATTCTCAAATCATTAACAACAAAACAAGGAATAAAGTATGGTAAGTAGTAGTAGTAATCTTTATTTATATACCGCCTTTTTACTGCAGATCTGAGTCTCAAAGCGGTTTACAATTGTTAATTTTTAGGCATTAGTCTCTCACTCCACACAGAGATGGGAGCGGGGCCAGTACAGGAGGCGCATGCTAGAACTATTGGACACATTTTTAGTGGTAGGGGAAACCGGAGTACTCGGAGGAAACCTACGCAGACACGGGGAGAACATGCAAACTCCACTCAGAAAGGCCCTGGTCCGACTGGGATTCGAACCCAGGACCTTCTTGCTGAGAGGCGAGAGTGCTATCCACTCAGCCACCGTGCCGCCCGGTAACAGTACTATCCTCTCCTCCTTCCTACTTTATCTGTCTGCATTATTAGGATTGTGACTGTAGTTTGTTCATTGCTATTCACCCGTTGTTTGTCTGTTTCATGGTGCGACGACGGGACCTCTGAAGCTGGCCTCCTCCATCTACACCTGCAGACTGCCCGACCCGACCGTGCAGGAGCGCTTCAGTCCTGCACGGTCCTGTAGCTTAGGTCCTGGATCTACAGCCTCAGTCCTCGTTCTACAGTCTGAGTCCTGGATCTACAGCCTCAGTCCTCGTTCTACAGTCTGAGTCCTGGATCTACAGCCTCAGTCCTCGTTCTACAGTCTGAGTCCTGGATCTACAGCCTCAGTCCTCGTTCTACAGTCTGATAGTCCTGGATCTACAGCCTCAGTCCTCGTTCTACAGTCTGAGTCCTGGATCTACAGCCTCAGTCCTCGTTCTACAGTCTGAGAGTCCTGGATCTACAGCCTCAGTCCTCGTTCTACAGTCTGAGTCCTGGATCTACAGCCTCAGTCCTCGTTCTACAGTCTGAGAGTCCTGGATCTACAGCCTCAGTCCTCGGTCTACAGTCTGAGAGTCCTGGATCTACAGCCTCAGTCCTCGGTCTACAGTCTGAGAGTCCTGGATCTACAGCCTCAGTCCTCGTTCTACAGTCTGAGAGTCCTGGATCTACAGCCTCAGTCCTTGTTCTACAGTCTGAGAGTCCTGGATCTACAGCCTCAGTCCTCGGTCTACAGTCTGAGAGTCCTGGATCTACAGCCTCAGTCCTCGGTCTACAGTCTGAGAGTCCTGGATCTACAGCCTCAGTCCTCGGTCTACAGTCTGAGAGTCCTGGATCTACAGCCTCAGTCCTCGGTCTACAGTCTGAGAGTCCTGGATCTACAGCCTCAGTCCTCGGTCTACAGTCTGAGAGTCCTGGATCTACAGCCTCAGTCCTCGTTCTACAGTCTGAGTCCTGGATCTACAGCCTCAGTCCTCGTTCTACAGTCTGAGAGTGCTGGATCTACAGCCTCAGTCCTCGTTCTACAGTCTGAGTCCTGGATCTACAGCCTCAGTCCTCGTTCTACAGTCTGAGAGTCCTGGATCTACAGCCTCAGTCCTCGTTCTACAGTCTGAGAGTCCTGGATCTACAGCCTCAGTCCTTGTTCTACAGTCTGAGAGTCCTGGATCTACAGCCTCAGTCCTCGGTCTACAGTCTGAGAGTCCTGGATCTACAGCCTCAGTCCTCGGTCTACAGTCTGAGAGTCCTGGATCTACAGCCTCAGTCCTCGGTCTACAGTCTGAGAGTCCTGGATCTACAGCCTCAGTCCTCGGTCTACAGTCTGAGAGTCCTGGATCTACAGCCTCAGTCCTCGTTCTACAGTCTGAGAGTCCTGGATCTACAGCCTCAGTCCTTGTTCTACAGTCTGAGAGTCCTGGATCTACAGCCTCAGTCCTCGGTCTACAGTCTGAGAGTCCTGGATCTACAGCCTCAGTCCTCGGTCTACAGTCTGAGAGTCCTGGATCTACAGCCTCAGTCCTCGGTCTACAGTCTGAGAGTCCTGGATCTACAGCCTCAGTCCTCGGTCTACAGTCTGAGAGTCCTGGATCTACAGCCTCAGTCCTCGGTCTACAGTCTGAGAGTCCTGGGTCTACAGCCTCAGTCCTCGTTCTACAGTCTGAGTCCTGGATCTACAGCCTCAGTCCTCGTTCTACAGTCTGAGAGTGCTGGATCTACAGCCTCAGTCCTCGTTCTACAGTCTGAGTCCTGGATCTACAGCCTCAGTCCTCGTTCTACAGTCTGAGAGTCCTGGATCTACAGCCTCAGTCCTCGGTCTACAGTCTGAGAGTCCTGGATCTACAGCCTCAGTCCTCGGTCTACAGTCTGAGAGTCCTGGATCTACAGCCTCAGTCCTCGTTCTACAGTCTGAGAGTCCTGGATCTACAGCCTCAGTCCTTGTTCTACAGTCTGAGAGTCCTGGATCTACAGCCTCAGTCCTCGGTCTACAGTCTGAGAGTCCTGGATCTACAGCCTCAGTCCTCGGTCTACAGTCTGAGAGTCCTGGATCTACAGCCTCAGTCCTCGGTCTACAGTCTGAGAGTCCTGGATCTACAGCCTCAGTCCTCGGTCTACAGTCTGAGAGTCCTGGATCTACAGCCTCAGTCCTCGGTCTACAGTCTGAGAGTCCTGGATCTACAGCCTCAGTCCTCGTTCTACAGTCTGAGAGTCCTGGATCTACAGCCTCAGTCCTGGATCTACAGTCTGAGTCCTGGACCATCCGTCCGTGTGTAGCGGATCCCTCTCTCAGTGTGGATCTTCCCGAGGTTTCTCACTTCTCTCCCACTGGGTTTTCCTTGCCGACACTTGAACATTCTACGACATTTATGACATTGTGGGGAAGCTAGCTCGAGTGTCAAAATGAGACGGCAGAACTCAAATCAAAAGTTATAAATCAAAAGATTGATTTTGGACAAAGCAACCAACAGTCCTGTCCTTTGGGTGTGTCTCCCCTGACAAGGTTCACCTGTGAGCTTTTATCATTGTGGCTCCGCCCACATGGGTTGGCACACGATACAAAATGGCTTTGTGAGACACGCCCTCTTCTGGGCGGCACGGTGGCTGAGTGGATAGCACTCTCGCCTCTCAGCAAGAAGGTCCTTCTTGCTCCAACCGGGTTCAACCCCCCGGTCCAACCGGGTTCGAATCCCGGTTGGACCAGGGCCTTTCTTAGTGGAGTTTGCATGTTCTCCCTGTGTCTGCGTAGGTTTCCTCCGGGTGCTCCGGTTTCCCCTACCACTAAAAATATGTACAATAGGTCTGGCATGTGCCTCCTGTACTGGCACCCCTGCTCCCAAAAATAACAATTGTAAACCGCTTTGAGACTCCGATGTGCAGTGAAAAGGCGGTATATAAATAAAGATTACTACTACTACTACTACTCTTCAACAGGTACAAAATGCATTCAATAAAAGTGGCATTAACTGTTGATTCTCTGATCTGTGGTGATTTCAATGGTTTTGTTAAGTCTCTGAGATGATACTGTTGTGATTTAGGGCGATACAAGAATAAATTGTATTGTATTGTCTTGTATTGAATCCAGGGATGGTTTCTGAATGTCTGTCTCTAGTTGAGCATTTACATATAATACAGAAGTACAGGTCACAAACAATTAAAGAAGTGCAGAAAATACACAATACACACAGACACACAAAAGCAAAATACACACATGAAAATAACCCAGTGTGTTTCTCTCTTCTGCTCTCAACATAAACGGTTCCATTCTTTTGTGCCGACCGTGAAATCAGATTTTTCAAAAGGTCCAGGAATGTAAAAATATATTTTGACTTGGATCATAATCTAAGGTTGTCTGCCGTGTGTAAACATGTGTGTGATTCCAAGTGGTTGGAGGAGGGCCGAGTTCTGCTTTATCGAAAAGGATCGAGGTTTTCTTCTTCCTACTCCCTTTCAGGAAACTATTATGGTTCATTTAGTTTATAGTCTATTTTTTCCATCCATCCATCCATCCATCTTCTTCCCCTTAATCCATGTCTGGGTCGGGGGTGGCAGCCAGAGCAGCACCCAGTCCACAGAGCACCAGCCCCTCACTGATCCTCCTGCAGGTGATGAATCCACAGTAACCTTGATTTTTCAACGGGGGCTTCGGGCAAAGTGGGGTTAAGTGTCTTGCCCAAGGACACAACAACAGCAGTCATCAGCGGGAGTCGTGAAGTAGGTCTCATGGTGGGCTCAAACCCACAACCTTCAGGCCCAAAGACCAATGCTCTACCATCTGAGCCACTGTCACCCCCTTATTTTTTCCCATGTTAGCAATACTTATTTTTTTGTAAATTAAAACGGACAAGAGGTGACTTGTGCCCGATGTTAAATGCCTAAAATGAAAAAATAAACTTGGTTGCGAAAAGTTTTATTATTAAGTTTTTCCCTTGAACTCGTTGACTGGGATTGACATATTTTTCTAAGACTGGTGATTTCTGTCAAACTTCCCTGTATTTGACCGGGGATTACAGGAGGACAAAACTAACTAGAAACCAACATATTTTTGCTGATGAAAGAAGACAGTCGAAGCTTTCAGAATCTGGTTTCATTTTCCACATTGTCAAATCA